GAGAGCTTGCCAAGGCCACATCTGATGAAGTAAAAATCTTTGGACGAGGAACCAGAGGCGCAGCTGGAACAGGCTACCTCAGGAGCCGGTGGAATAATAATAATAATAATCCTCACGTTTGATATAGTGCCTTAACATGTTGTTGAGACATCTCAAAGCATTTCACTGAATAGAATATACTGCAAAGTGGATTGACTGTGTATTTTGTGGGCAAAAATGCAGCAGCCAATTGCGCACAGCTGTGTTCCGCCAACAGTCGTGGCTTGAGTGACCGCATATTCTTTTTTGAGAGAGATTATTACCCTTGGCTATGACCTGCCGATTTGAGTAACAACCGGGTTCCTACTTACTTTCAGGTAGACAGAGGCGTGTGGAGTAAGGAAACCCGCGTGGAGTAAGGAAGCAGAAAGTGTCGATTCTTTGAAACGCAAAGTAGATAGATTTCTTTTAGGAAATAATATTATGGGATACAATATGTGAGTAGTTCAGAGACTGCCAGGATGGTGGAAGGCGAACTGGATGGACCTTTTCTCGTCTACCATTTCTTATGTTCCTATCTTCGTGTTCATTTTTTTCAGCTTCTTATTTGTATAGCGTCTTTCAATTGGGAGGATGTCCCAAGGCGCTGGACAGTCAGGGGTTTGGACCCGAGCTGGGGGGTGGGATCAGGAGGGGTGGCGTGCAGGGAGGGAGTGCAGGGGTAGGAGGGTGACCGGTCCTGAAGGAGGCAAGGGAGAGGGAGGGGAGAGGAGAAGGGACCGTGGGATGGAGCTCCAAAGGGTGTGGGGAGAGTGGCTGAAGGCCAAACCGTCGATGGTGGTCCGATAGAAGCAGGAACCAGTGCCCGAGAGAAAAGTATAGGAAACTCGAAGGGAGGAAAGAAGGCAAGATATCCTCTGTTGAGAGCCCATAATAATAATCTAAAATAAACACTCTCGACTTGGCCTTTGGATTGCCAGATGACGAATGGCCTACCCACTGTTTTCAGTAATGATTTTCAGCTCTGAGCACTGAAAACTCTCAGTCACCTTGGAAACCTTTGTACAAACGCTTTGTCGCTTGCACCCTTGCCTGCAGTCAGGGTTAGTAAAATCCTTAATGTGCGTTATATACACACAGTAGGGAGAAAATCTCTGCTATCAAGTTCCACTTGACAAGGAGACATCTGTGGCATATTACTCCCTATATCTAATTTTTCAGCTGTTTTAGTCTGTTGATACAACATGCCCATGTGGTATAATGTTCTATTCCTGTGTCCCTAATTTTCCCAAGCATTCCTGCTGTTTTGTCCCCCTATCATCTGGTATAAATATCCGTACACTGCTTGTTTCGATTGAACTGCACGCTATATTTCAGGCTGTTTCAGTGTTTGTTTCTCTCCTCTCATTATCCACACCCTCGCTAAGTGAAGGGGTCCCATTTAACACACAAGCAACAGCCAAAGTCACTTTTCGCCCCCTTCCTTTTTGGCAAACATTAACCGTAATACGATTCCATCCTTGTCAACAATGTGAGGAAAGGTATTTGGATTTCAGTGCAAGTCCGAATACACACGTGCAAACCCTCCCCGCTCCCCAGTCACAAGGACAGGCATTTAGACATTTTGATTTTGGTCAGCCGGGTGTCTGACACACGCGGAAACCCATCACCGTTGCTTAAGAGTATCCAACCCAAGCTGAGAATTCCCTGCATCCCACCTACATGTGGAGATCCCAGAGATATTTGTCGGAATAGAATGTGCTCTCTCTCTCTCTCTCTCTCTCTGGGGGAACGCATCCTGTTTACCTAATTCCCGGAAGTATTAGGCACAGGTTGGCAAGCGCCAAGGCTTGGGGACCCCACTGACACAGAAGGGCGCTTCGGGTAAACGATAGTTAGGACATCTAGTCGTCGAGCAGTACTCTACTAACTC